AACCTATATTCAAATAAATTTGAAAATCTTAAAGAAATGGACAGATTTCTAGATACATATGATCATCCAAAACTGAACCAAGAGGAAATTAATCACCTGAATAGATCTATAACACAAAATGAAATTGAAGCAGCAATCAAGAGTCTCCCAAAAAGAAAAGTCCAGGACCTGATGGATTCTCTGCTGAATTCTATCAGACCTTTAAAGAAGAACTGATACCAACCCTCCTTAAACTGTTCCACGAAATAGAAAGGGAAGGAAAACTGCCAAACACATTTTATGAAGCCAGTATTACACTTATCCCAAAACCAGGCAAAGACACCTCCAAAAAGGAGAACTATAGGCCAATCTCCTTAATGAACATTGATGCAAAAATCCTCAACAAAATAATGGCAAACCGAATTCAACAACACATCAAAAAGATTATTCACCACGACCAAGTAGGCTTCATCCCAGGGATGCAGGGGTGGTTCAACATATGAAAATCAATAAATAATAAACCACATTAACAGAAGCAAAGACAAAAACCACTTGATCATCTCAATAGATGCAGAAAAAGCCTTTGATAAGATCCAACACCATTTCATGATAAAAGCTCTAAGAAAACTAGGAATAGAAGGAAAGTACCTCAACATTATAAAAGCTATATATGACAAACCTACAGCCAGCATTATACTTAATGGAGAAAAACTGAAACCATTCCCTCTAAAATCAGGAACCAGACAAGGATGCCCACTATCTCCACTCCTATTCAACATAGTACTGGAATTCCTAGCCAGAGCAATTAGGCAAGAAGAAGGAATAAAAGGAATACAAATAGGTAAAGAAACTGTCAAAATATCCCTATTTGCAGATGACATGATCCTATACCTTAAAGACCCAAAAAACTCTACTCAGAAGCTTCTAGACATCATCAATAGCTATAGCAAGGTAGCAGGATATAAAATCAACATAGAAAAATCATTAGCATTTCTATACACTAACAATGAGCAAACTGAAAAAGAATGTATGAAAACAATTCCATTTACAATAGCCTCAAAAAAAATCAAATACCTAGGTGTAAACCTAACAAAAGATGTGAAAGACCTCTACAAGGAAAACTATACACTTCTGAAGAAAGAGATTGAGGAAGACTATAGAAAGTGGAGAGATCTCCCATGCTCATGGATTGGTAGAATCAACATAGTAAAAATGTCTATACTCCCAAAAGTAATCTACATGTTTAATGCAATTCCCATCAAAATTCCAATGACATTCATTAAAGAGATTGAAAAATCTACTGAAATTTATATGGAAACACAAGAGGCCACGAATAGCCAAGGCAATACTCAGTCAAAAGAACAATGCAGGAGGTATCACAATACCTGACTTCAAACTATATTACAAAGCAATAACAATAAAAACAGCATGGTACTGGCACAAAAACAGACATGAAGACCAGTGGAACAGAATAGAGGACCCAGATATGAAGCCACACAACTATAACCAACTTGTCTTTGACAAAGGAGCTAAAAATATACGATGGAGAAATAGCAGCCTCTTCAACAAAAACTGCTGGGAAAACTGGTTAGCAGTCTGCAAAAAACTGAAACTAGATCCATGTATATCACCCTATACCAATATTAACTCAAAATGGATCAAGGATCTTAATATCAGACCCAAACTCTAAAGTTGATACAGGAAAGAGTAGGAAATACTCTGGAGTTAGTAGGTATAGGTAAGAACTTTCTCAATGAAACCCCAGCAGCACAGCAACTAAGAGATAGCATAGATAAATGGGACCTCATAAAACTAAAAAGCTTCTGTTCATCAAAAGAAATGGTCTCTAAACTGAAGAGAACACCCACAGAGTGGGAGAAAATATTTGCCCTATACATCAGACAAAGGACTGATAACCAGAATATATAGGGAACTTAAAAAACTAAATTCTCCCAAAACTAATGAACCAATAAAGAAATGGGCAAGTGAACTAAACAGAACTTTCTCAAAAGAAGAAATTCAAATGGCCAAAAAACACATGAAAAAATGCTCACCATCTCTAGCAATAAAGGAAATGCAAATTAAAACCACACTAAGATTCCACCTCACCCCTGTTAGAATAGCCATCATCAGCAACACCACCAACAACAGGTGTTGGCGAGGATGCGGGGAAAAAGGAACCCTCTTACACTGTTGGTGGGAATGTAAACTAGTACAACCACTCTGGAAAAAAATTTGGAGGCTACTTAAAAAGCTAAACATTGATCTACCATTTGATCCAGCAATACCACTCTTGGGGATATACCCAAAAGACTGGGACACAGGTTACTCCAGAGGCACCTGCACACCCGTGTTTATTGCGGCACTATTCACAATAGCCTAGTTATGGAAACAGCCAAGATGCCCCACCACTGACGAATGGATTAAGAAAATGTGGTATCTATACACAATGGAATTTTATGCAGCCATGAAGAAGAACGAAATGTTGTCTTTCCCTGGTAAATGGAGGGAATTGGAGAACATCATTTTGAGTGAGGTTAGCCTAGCCCAAAAGACCAAAAATCGTATGTTCTCCCTCATATGTGACATTAGATCAAGGGCAAACACAACAAGGGATTGGACTTTGAGCACATGATAAAAGCGAGAGCACACAAGGGAGGGGTGAGGATAGGTAAGACACCTAAAAAACTAGCTAGCATTTGTTGCCCTTAATGCAGAGAAACTAAAGCAGATACCTTAAAAGCAACTGAGGCCAATAGGAAAAGGGAGACCAGGAACTAGAGAAACGGTTAGATCAAGAAGAATTAACCTAGAAGGTAACACACACGCACAGAAAGTTAATGTAAGTCAACTCCCTGTATAGCTATCCTTATCTCAACCAGCAAAAACCCTTGTTCCTTCCTATTATTGCTTATGCTCTCTCTTCAACAAAATTAGAGATAAGGGAAAAATAGTTTCTGCCGGGTATTGAGGTGGTGGGGGGGAGAGGGAGGGGGCGGAGTGGGTGGTAAGGGAGGAGGTGGGGGCAGGGGAGAGAAATGACCCAAGCCTTGTTCGCACATATGCATAATAAAAGAAAAAAAAAGCTAAATGGATGAGACAAAGCACTGTAAAAGTATAAAGAAAACAATATTTAGAAAAAGATTTTTTCCAAATGAATATCCTTTATAAAATAATATCAATAATTCTAATTACTAATATACTATGTAAGTCTGAAGTGTACTAGAACCTGTAGGCTACTAATTATTAGTCCTATTATTGTGGTCATAATGAAATTAACAGATCAATAACAGCTGTTGTCACTATCATTTATTAAGCTCTGGCAATATGACAGCCACTGCCTTAACTTACAGAAGAAAAAAAAAAATATAATATATATATTTATTTGTCTTATACATATTCTTTTATATATGTATTACAATATACTGTCAAAATATATATACATATGTATCCTCTAACCTTGTCCAATCTCAACTTTGCTACTTTTTCATGTGAAAATCAAGCAGAAAAAAATGAACTACATATTAACAATATGGCTACTACAAAGGAAAACAGGTCCTTTTTAAAAAGAATAATAGTTCAGAGAACCACATTTCAAAAGAGAAAGATAACTGCAGTCAAATTTGGGTGGTAAAATGGATCATTCTGAGATAAAACACAATTTGTAATCTTGGCTATTTTTAAGTACAACACACCTTGACTTCTGTTTCTTCAATTGCACACTGAAGAGTTTAAACAAGAGTCAAACAGAAGCAGTAGAAAAAGCAACCTAAGCAGCCAACCTAATACCAAGCCCATCTATTTAGGTAAATGAATTGGGTAAGCCATTTGTCTTGAGGTTTCAACTTCTTCAGCAGTAAAATAGGTAACATAGTAACAGTAACAGAAGCTTCTGTGAGATCATGTAAAAATTCGTGCTAGCTGGAAAGTATTCACAGTAATAAGAAATTCCTAAATATTCTATGCCCTTTCAGCTCTAAAACTATGAACCATAATTACTTCTGGCCCAGGAACCGCCAGGTACAAATAAGATCACACATGCAATATTTTCAGATATTTACTGGAAAGCATTGGTTTTAGAATATAAAGTTCAGTTTCCTGAAAAGTCCTAACAGTTAAGGATTCTGATATAGTGTTTCACAAAGAAAAACCAAAACACAAGAAAACTGATAGCCTTCTTCTTCATTTGCTCAAACACAGAGGATCCTGCTAGAATGAGAAAGAGCCCGTTCCACCACAAAAGAAGAACCAATAGTAGGGGTCAAGACAACACACAATTTGAAGTTCCCAGAAGGGAACTTCAAGACAATAAAAGGATGACAGTCATCTCATACAGATTTACACCGCACTGTTAATATATGAAATGAACTATCATTTCTATTAACCACCAGGTATAAAAGAGAGAAGAGTTAAGGATAGTCAACTCCCCAAATAATTTTTTCTAAGAATTGTTATAACTACATTGGTCTAAGTTAAATAAACATGGAAAACAAAGACCAAGCATCTGTGGATTCTCTACCCCAGCAAACTGGTGTGTTCCAATGGTGTTCTCTACAACAGTTTCCTTGACTGAGCACCTGAAACCCCCAGACCAGAAATGCCCAGCCTTCCCCTCCTGCCTGAGGAACTTTTCCTCACTTCAAGATTCAAAGTGTCATCTCCAAAGTTGAATGCTTCTATTATAGCCGAGAATAAAAACTTCACAAGTTTTTTAAGACTGAATAATAAATTCATAGATACTAATGTTTCTAAGAGAATTCTTTAGCTATATCCTCAGATGCCAAGAGAGCTAGGTCCATTCTCTGTATTTTTCTTTAATTTTTTTCTTAATATTGGTACATACTAATGCATAAATTTTGAGTGAATAGCCTACAAATTCTTATTGTTGCATTTGTCTACATGGCATATAGTTATAAATACACCCAGATGATTATCTAAAACATCCACAGCTCATCAACTTAAACCTTAAATGCACTCTGGTGAAATGTTTGAGAAACACAGATTAAGCAAATTTGCATTACCTGTTCATGTCCCTGGCGACTGTAAAATTTGACATTTAACATCCTTAGTAATCCCAGTGTCTTTGGTACCTATAAAATGAATACACATCTCATGAAGAAATGTTAACAGAATGACTTCTCATAATTTATAGTCCTTTTATCATTAAATGCAAGTGTAACAAATAATGTATTTTTTTAAATAGTTAAGAGAATCACCAATGGGGCAAAGGCTATAATAGCTTAGTGGGAGAGTATTTTCATATTGCAAGGCCCTGAGTTCAATCCTCTGCACCACAAATAAAATAAAATAAAGTTGCCTACGCTTTTAATGTGGCTAGTGAGGTCTAACTAGCCCAGTCCCAAACTCATTTAAGAAAACAAATCACCAATGGGTATCAAGCATCTTGGTGAGATTCTGCTTTTGTTTAAGGGAAAAAAAATCCACTAACTTGTAAAATCTTTTAAAATATATCCATGATCAATTTTTTTTTCATGTATATAAATAATGAGCCTAGAATGTAACTGAAGCTCTTCTCAAATGAGGCTATGCCAGGTCTCCATGGTATCCCAGCATCACTATGGCAAAGTTCAAAACTTCCAACAGAACTTTCATCCATTAAGAAACAGTGTTAATGGTGACAGAGTAGCTCAAGTGGTGGAGTTCAAATTCCAGTACCACCAAAAACAAAAAACCAATCCTATACTTAGAAAAATGCAACATTTAGAAACCAATGTTTAAAATAACTTACTGTAACACAAGACGATTTTATGTAAGATTTAAGAAATGCATTTACAAGAGCAAGAAAAAGAGATGACTATAATTTTTTAAATGGAACATAACTGCTGATGAGGATGTAGAGAATTTGCACCCTTATACAATGATGGCGGGAAGGTAAAATAGTACAATCTGATTATATCAGACTTTTAAATTCCACATACCAAGCAAAACAATGGAGTAATAATTGTTACAATTTAATGAAAGCAAAGGTGAGCCCATAGAAAATGGCCCTTGTTGGAGCACAACAATGCAGAGAAAGCTGAACGCAGGCAATAGAAACTTACGAAAGTTTTTGGGTTGTTTATTCATTTTTGTTTTTTGGTGCTTTTTGTTTTGGTTGCTTTGAAATATGGGGTCTAAACCCAGGGCCTTGTACTTTCTGGGCAAGCACTCTGCCACTTAAACTATGCTCCCAGTCTTTTGGTTTCTTGTTTTGTTTTTGAGACAAGGTCTTACTAACTATGCCCAAGTGGCCTCGCACTTAACCACGATCTGCCTGCATCCATCTCCCAAGTAGCTGGGATTATAGACGTGCACCATGACACCCAGTTTAAAACTACTCTTGATTCTATCTACCTTAGAGAACGAAGACATCCCAGAAAAATAGGATTCCAAAAGCTGTTGTTCTTTATACAATAACAATGCATACTGAAAAACGCAGCAGCAAAAAAAAAATAAACTTTGCTCACTTTTTATACTTTTTCCCAAAATTCTGATCTTAAAAATACAAGTAGACAACAATTACCCCTGTAGTTCATCTTAGATTTTATCCACTGCTTTCACATACATTACCTTGCTTGATCCTGACAAAAGCCTTAATGTGTCCACAAGAGGCGAGGGAAGAACTGGAATTCAAATACCAGCCTTCCAATTCCAGGGACTGAGTCTATCTATCCTTTGTCCCAATTATTGAATTCTAACCTGGCACCTGTTATGCTTATTATACTAATTTGTACTTACATAGTTGTACCAGTATCTTTATATTTTTAATACTAAGAGCAGTGATTCAATGCTGAAGAAATAAGTAAAACTATTTCAAATAGAAATTTCTAACATTAATTTAGAAACACTGATCAATGCACATATTGAATTTTTGTATAGTCTCTTTTACGAGCTGCAGCAGCCTTGTGAGAGCCTAGAATATATGTGTCCACAGCATTTTTCAGTCAATATTTACCCCAAAACAACAATAACCTTAAACAAACATTAAGAGGAGGTTTGATTAGAGCAATATCCGCCACCTGACAAAAGGAGCTAATCCTATAACCTCAAATTATTTTGAAAGCTATGTACAATGACTGTAAGTTTAGCTGCAACACATTTTAAAAGCTACCAACATAATTAAAATACACTTGTAGCATTTCAAGAAGTTAATCATACAGCAGAGCATTCAACTTGCAATTCAATATTTTTCTCACTTATTTTGTCAGTGCACAAGCATTTTTCTTTTAAAAGACTCCAATACCAAAAGCCTCAGGCCAGAGAGAGAAGGACCATACACAGCAGAGAAGCTTCCAATACTTCATTCAAGCAAATAGCAAAGTAAAAGCTCAATAGAATTCAAAGAAGCCAAGGTGAAAATGTTTCCTATTATGTGACAGTATTCCCTGACTTCCCCTCTCCAGGGCCACTATGTCACAATGCACTTGATTAGGCTGTACCAAAACACACTCATACTTCACCAACTTTACCCCTCTCCTTGTATCCTCCATGCACAACTCTTTTTTCTTCTCTTTTTACCTTGCCTTTAACTTTGAGATCTCATTACTATAGAAGAGCTGAAATGATTATGCAATGAAATGCCAGTACATCTTTTCACCTGGGTTGACCAGTTATGTATATCTTGTCACATTTGTTTTATCTCTCCCTGTATATACACATGCTTTTTTAAACATTGTATTTTAATTTAACCATTTGAAATAAGCTATAGGCATCCTATTTGCTTTAGACAGATTTGAAAAAGAAAACTTAACAAATTCTTTCCAAGATCTTCCTGATATATCTCACATATAAAACCACAAGCTAAACTAAATCAGAGATAAATTCCTACAAACATGACATAAAGTGTCCATTTCTACAAACAAGAAATAGAATGTGTCTAGGGCTGGGGCATGGCTCGAGTGGTAGAGCACCTGCCCAGCAAGTACAAGGCTCTTAATTCAAATTCTATGTATGGGGGCAGGTCCAATATGTACAAGAAATTCATACCTCACTGTTTTTAGGGAGGTAGGTTATCTTACAATCAAAACATAGATTAGACATGTACATAATTCCATAGGAGGGGAAATGCTAAACAGGATCTAGAAAATCAGCTCCATCCTTGCCTCCATACTCTAAGCTGTTAAGCACTCAGGCCCTTAGGCTCCTCATTGTGAAAAGTGGCCGATACTGTCCAAACTTCCCTCCTCCTTAGGTTCTATAGACAGAATAAATGGGTGATAAAGCAGGTAGATGGATGAAAATGGAAGGAAAAGCACAAAGCACAGCACAACAAGCTGAGCTACAATGTCTGGTGCCATATAAACCATAAGTCGACCTTTTTTAAAAACTATTAATTTGTTGTGCTAAAGCATAATCATATTTCAGTACACACCAAATGCTAAAAATAATAATGTTAATGGAAGATTACTGTAACTACTAAATATTTCTTTTCAAAAGTACTTCTTCATTAGTTCCTTTTCAGTACCAAACCATTCACTGTTTTAGGAGATTATCTTTGAAATCAATGCATGTTAAGAAAAATAGCAAGACAAACACATTCATTATCAAAACAAACAGCCTAACATATTCATTTATGTTGTACTTCTCTTTAATTTCTTGGTTTCTTCCTTCATTTGAAAAATACATAACTGCACACTTCATTATAGACAACGTGCTAAGTGCATAGTGCATAATTTTGATAAAGTGCTTGCTTTCATGTAGTTTATACACACAGCCAAGATACATAATATTATAGGGCAACCAATATGGTAGACACAGTTACCATCTACCAATGCCTACCAATCCTCCAGATATCCTTTAATCATCAATTGGCAGAAGGAAATTAGGTGACTGGGAGTGTGTCCTTAAACAGACTACTGGAACCATGCCCCTTCTTTCTCTCTCTCTCTTTCCTGTCTATGAAACTACAAACCAAAATAAATGTATTTTGTCACAGTGAGAAAAGGCTGATTAATACAAGGGGTGTCTGATACAAAACAGAAGCCCAAGATTGTCATGGCTCAAGTCGTACAGTGCTTGCCTAGCAAGCATGAGGCTATGATTCAAACCCCAGTACCCCCCCCCACACACACACACACAGAAGCCCAATAAATAATTCCAGAAAGAAAAAATGATGAACAGATGAATAGACAATACAAATATGGAAGAAAATATGCCATAGTAGTTAAAAATGTGTACTGGGAAACTTCTGTGACTTTGTGCTCCAATTCTTCACTTGCTCAGCTTGCTGGCCAGGACAGCTTAGTTAACCACACTCTCCTTTTTCATCGATTGACTCAGGCCAATCCCAACACCTACCTCAAAGCACTCTGAGTGGTTGCTAACAAAAAAAGAAAAAGCTTAATAAATGTTAATCTATAAACAGGCAAATATAAGCAATAGGACAACTACTAGGCTGCTTTTCTAATATCTAAAAGGATAATTACTAAAAATGAGACCAAGTTGAATTCACATACTTTATTAAATTTGATATCTGAATTGCAATAGCATTAAGTAACCTTCCTCATTTAAGACAAAATTTCTTCTGCTAAATCTCACAGTTTATTTGTCTAAAACCAATTAGAAAAGTAAAATGTTATAGCTAATGCTTACCGCAGTAACCCTGTCTCCACCATTAGTAACCTGCTTATAATAGGGTGACCCCGAAAGAACTCTCCATGCAGAAAGGCCACAGCTAGAAGCTTTTGACACACCCACTTCAGCAGTTTCACATCCACCAACCAGAAGAAGTCTAAAAATGAGAAAATAAAAAGAATTAATAAATTACACATATGAACAAGATAACAGCTAAACAAACTGTGTAGAAAAAGTCACCTTCCCAAAGAAAACTAAATTAAAATTACTTCATGTTAAGCCTAGGTTAGAATTTTAGATGAAACATACAAAAGGAAACCAAATGGCTTTCCAAGTGTAATTTCACCTTCACTTACACAGAAGTAAACACTCAGGCACCTGAAACTCTGATAAGAACTTAAAAATGAGGAAGAATTATTTAAGGTTACCATTGTGTACTAAAGAAACTGCCTGAATGGACACCAATATGTATTAGTAAACTTCTGTGCAGCTTTACCCAGATCACATGGATTAATTAAAGCAAGAATGAGGGCATAATTACAGCATACAGAAAGAAATGACACTGGGGAGTGCTCAATGGGAAAGAGCTACACAGCAATAGGTATTCAGAAAGAAGGCTCCTGGGTGGGTTATGATTGACTCACTTCTCTGCTTGTTGTGTCCATTTAACCTAACATACACTAAAAGTTAAAACACATTACTATGCAAGTCCTATATAAACTAAAAAGTTAATAACGGGAACCCAAGCAGCCATGATCTTTTGAGTTAAATCAGGTTCAGGACACCTGGCAGCTGGCAGGGACCTGGATAACAGACATCACAATCACTTATTAAAAAGAGAAAAAAACTAGAAGGCATAAAGTGTTGATACTTTAACAGGAGGACTTCAATTCAGGGAGTTATCTGTTGTTCCCAATGACAACAAACAATAGCGTAACAGGAGGCAATGCTTAATTTTTTTAAGTAATTAAACTGTTTCCCCATGTATTAGAAACTGCCTTTTTCCTGCTTAAGAGGAAGAAAAATATTTTCAAACACAGGTTTCCCTAACCACATCCACATGGTGCTGTCCCCACCCTGGCTACACTGTCCCAAATGACAGAACACAGTGTTGAACCACTTTTCAATCAAAACTTGCAAATGGCTGACATCACTAGGTTCACATTTTGTCAAAAAGACAATGCACTTGATCACACATATGATTTACCTTTTTCTATGCCATACTCATAGGAAACCCAAAACTTGAGATATCCTAGGTTTTGCAAAGAAATTGAAGGTGAAAGAAAACATACTTTATAAGTTTCCTTAGGACTGGCACATCAACTAAAGTTAACTTTTGAACTCAGGGCCTCCCATTTGCTAAGCAGGCATTCTACAGCATGAGCCATGCCCCCAGCCCTTTATTAATTTAGTTATTTTCCCAAGATGGTTTTGCACTTTTTACCCAGAGCTAGCCTCAGACCATTACAGGTATGCACCACCACATCCAGCTTGTTTGTTGAGATGGGTCTCATTAACTTTTTGCCTGGGCTGTTTCTACTGTAGGCAAATCCTCAGAGATAAAACATGGTATCTTTATTCACAGGACAAAAGAGATTTTGGTCCCAAGTCAAGCTACTTGACCAGATTATTCATTCTATTCAAATGATTCTGTTATGCTAAAATATTTCCCCAAAAAAGTATATCTAATACAGAAAATCATATTACCCCTTTAAACCTAACTGACAATTATGAAAAAATACAGATGAATAAAAAAAACCAACACGTTAAATGACACTACAAGATATTCTGCCTCTGTCTCTCTCCTTTCTTTTCTCTTGCTCTCTCTCTCTCTCTCTCTCTCTCTCTCACACACACACACACACACACACACACACACACACAAAGCAAGAGACACACAGAGGAAAAAAAATGAAGAGCAGATCAATGAATTCAGAGATAATAGTCTAACTATTTGAAGGTGCTAATGTATTACTGCTAAATTTTTAGATGCAATATGGTATAATGTTTACGTTTTTAGAGTCCTTATTTGGTAGAAATACACTGGAATATTTACAGATGAAATAATATACTGTATAGGATTCACTTCAAAATAATCCAGAGAAGGTTGGGTGGAGGGTGGCAACAAACTGGGCATGAGCTGGTGGTCGAATGATAAGCACAGGGGAGTCAAGACACTACTCTATTTTTCTTCAGGCTTCAAATTCTCCACAAAGAATTATTTTTTCCAAAAACCCATTTGCTAGAATAAACTCCCCTAGAAAAATAAAAACAAAACAGGTAACTTTGAATAGTTAGAGTTCAAATTTAGTCACAATGCTTTTTCAAGCAGAAGACATATGATTCATAAAAACATACCTTTAAACCAACAACCTATAATTATAATAAAAACTCAATAAATCCTTAAAAGCAACAATAAACAGTTCTTTTATAACTGAAATAATTTCCCTCTGATCAACTGCAACATATATATTGATATTAAGGCATATATAATACATTAAATATTCTAATTTATTTACAATTTCTGTTATTATATTGACTTTATTTATGAAAACATATATATGGAACTTTAAATTGCTTGATCTACCACAGGAACTACAGAACTGAGACTCCAGATTTCTTATCTCCTGGTCTTGATAGTAGACTATACTTCCTCTCTATGGGTATTGATAAATATTGTGCTCAGACATTACAGTAAAGTGGCTTCAACACGATAAGCTCCACTGGTAACAAAAGATATGCAGTGTCTCCTCCATTCAGGTCAGACTGAAGAGTAAGTGGAAAAGGAATAGCATAATGGAAGTAATCGTATTGTTCCTACCACATGGTGGCAGCACTGGGACACGGGTGGTCCAGCCAGAGAAGCACATGTCTGTGCTCAAGCAGGCAAGCAGGACTGTTTAAAAGGACTTCATCGACGTGTTCACAGAACAGACAGCTGGCAGCTATTGTGTGCAGGACAATGTGCAGGTGCTGAGTGTACAGAGACGAACACGGGATGCTCCCTGCATTCAAAAGCTTACTCTCTAATTAGCAGAGGACAAAGAATAGGGAAGAATGTGTGGAAGTGTAGAATAAAGTGGCCACAGATGACAGCCAAATTAGAAAACAACAAGCCAACTGAAATCTACTGAAGATTTTCTTCTACTATAAATGCCAAGGGATGCTAGCCCGAATACAAGATGCTAATTTTTGTTTCAATACCTTATTGTTTTATAAGACTCAAAATGTTGACTAGGGCTAACCTACAAAATAAAAATAAAAGCAGGCTGGCAGGGGTACTTAGCCAAATAAATAAATGTCCTCCAGTATGATCCCAGTGTTCAGAGTAGGCTTCCAGGGCAACTATGGCCAGATGTGAAGAGGAATTCAGTTCTACTGGTAAAGCCATATAAGTTAAATAAAGCCAGTCAAAGTAATAGAGGAGAACAAGCTCAGGTCCAACACCATATACCCAATACATGTTTGCCAAGTGACTTGTGAATGTAAAGTTCCAACTTTCTCCTTTAATAGCACAAAATGAACACAAATCCCACAGAGATCCATCTTCCCACTGTCTGTCTTCACTCTTGCTAGGTCTCAGCAGCAATGTGCAAGTACATAAGGTGATAAGATGAGTCACAGCAATGGGGAGAGAGGGAGGTGGGTGTCACACACTGGTCAAAAACAGCACAAGACAATGAAAAGCCAAGAATGGTAAGCCAAAAAAAACTTTCCACATGTATGGAAACAGAATAATGTACCCCATTAAAAAATTGTAAAAACCAAAGGAAGGGGTAAGAAATAATATCTGAGGGGGTAAAGCTGCTCAAAGTACAGCTTTGTGATATAAACACATCACAATGAAACCCCTTTGTACAATATATGTTTATAAAAAACAAAATTTTCAAAAAGTGACAGATATTGATACAAATAAAGAGAGCAAGATGCCATGTACTTTGTTGGATTCTCAACACCAGGTCCTCTAAAATTAATACATAAATTGTATACTATTTCAAATGAAATCCTAAAAGAATTTCTCAAAGAATTGAACAAACTGATTTAAGAAAACCACACAAACTTAAGATTCACATAGGAAAGCAGAGTGCCAGATCAATTTGCAGTGAACAGTTTTCCCCTTTACGAGCTGGGCTTTGTGCACCTTGACCCAGAAATACTTTCCTGTCTTTGTGTTCTTAAGACATTTTCCTTCAGATTTGACCATATCAAAATTTAAGACTTCTTTCTACAAAATAAAATAACAAATCACACACTGGGAGAAGTTTACAACACATAAAACTAACAGTACATCAGTATAGAGAATTTGTAAAGATCTCCCACCAGTCCAAAAGAGTAATGGAAAAACAACAAAAAACAACAAATGACAAAAAAATATATATATAAGCCAAAAATGCAGATCAAACACAGATTCACACCAACCACTACATCCTCTAGAGAAGTTAGGGACTCTTATAAATTAGTAGTGCAATTGCATTCGTAACGCAAAGAGGACAAATCTAAAATATATATATATATATTTATATCTATTATACGATATATATGAAGGTCACACACCAAAATCAAGATAGCGGTCTCTAAAGAGGAGCAAGTAAGATAAAGGAACAGTGCAGAAAATTTTTTTTTATTACTATTTCTTACTCAGAGATCTTTGTGCATCTTAGCTAAAATAAAAAAACCACAAACTTAATATTTATTTGTCTATTGTGAGTAGAAAACAACTGGCGCATATTACATTCTCGTTCTCCCCTGCCCCCCATTGTTTGCTTTTGCCATACCAAGGATCAAACCCAAAGCCTCCAATATACTAGACTAGGACTCTACTACTGAGATACAGCCCCAGTTTCTAACCTAAAGAGAAGACCAGGATACAGCATCCCAAATTATACACATAAATTTATCAAGTTAATAAAGCCAAGAGAAAAAAAAATTCAGTACATTGGCTTCAACACTTTGCATCAACCCATAAATACATTAGAGAAGGCAAAAGGCATATAATTTGCTTCATGACATTTTGAAGTTGCTTATACATTAATAGTTACAGCTTAAGTATTCTCTGCCTACTGAAATAATGGTTAGATTTTTTGCAGAAATTAAGTTCACAGACAATAGAGAATAATTTATATCATTAATATTATTTTCTGTTACATTAAGTTCCTC